AGGACATTCTTGACTGGACTCAGCAAAAGCTACCTTGAACTGTTTTAGGGCCACGTACACACGAATCCAGACTAATTTTTGAAACTGCATACCTTCGTACCCGGATTCGTGTAGACGAGACCTTAAACCACTCCGGAGAGCGGTTTCAAAAAGATATTAGGCTGATTTAGCAATAGAACGGGAACGTCAGTTGACGACGATGCGCGCAAATCAAACAACTGGCTTGACCAACCACAGAGCAGCAAATTGAGCACCGGAAGTCGCGTTCAGTCCTTTCCGCGCGCTTTCCCGTCGTCAACTGATGTTCGCGTTCTATTGCTAAATCAGCCTAATGTTTCGGTGACAGGATTCACTGGTTTCGCGCGTGGACGGAATACCAGACGGAGGGCCAATTCATGTGAAAAATATATCTAAATGCGCTTTTAAAATTTAAAATATCCGGATTTGTATGGACGAGGCTTTTCACGATAGTGTCAATCTACAAATATGACCAGAATCATATCGTTTTTTTAAATTTCTTTCATATTTAATTCAGTAAATTCAGAGACCTTAATTTGCATGAGGAAGCCAAATTTTGTGGGATTCTAAAAAAGGCCGTTTGCTCGATGACGTCATTTTACTATACAAGATTCCTTCAGGGTTTTGCTTTCTTGTGCAAGTTAGGGCTTTTGTTATTTAAACCTCAGTGGGATTACCAGATTTAAATATAAAAGAAAAAAGTGAAATGAATTCCTTTAGTAGCAAAAACATGTCATCGCGTAAATAGCCAATTAGGCCCCCTGGCCCCAGTAGCCTTGCAGCAGTTCAGAATAGACCCCTATATGTCGCAGTTCTTTTGTTTTAGGGCTAGGTTCCAAACTTTGTTTGTTCATTTTTCCCCGCCAATAACGTAAGGTCTTCCAAGAACTGCAATGTCGCCCCTTATATGAAGAAAAGTCTCCCCTAGTAGAAGAGTCACTCGCCTGCCCCAGCTACCCTGGACGAGCCAAAATTTCCTACATTTCCTTACCGAAACTTGGCGTTTAAATACACTAGAAACAAACAGTGGGCTAGAGCGCTTTTTCGATGGTAAGGTCACCTTTCTAGCTAAGCCGGGTCAACTCGGTCAAGGCGAGAGAATCAGACCATGCGGGAGCGCTGTTTCCTGCTCTAGGCTTGGGCAAAGGGGCCAACTGTTTATCATATAAACACTTGCTTAAGTTGACTAGGGCTGGGAGGGTAACCCCGGGAAATTTTTTCTCTATGTAAACGGGACCTCATTCCCATGTTTTCTTGATATAGGTTCAATAAACAGAACAATAACGCTGCACGTGCATCACACGTTTTTGTAAATTTATTCGCCGTCACTACGTTATACGGAGCACATAAGCACCCAAAGACAAATTTATTTTTCTCTATTTACACTTTGATGTCAGTGTTCCCTAAAAATTCAGTTCCACGGAAAAATCACTTAAATTTGACCAAGTTGGCCAATTAAGAAAACCCCCACAAATTTTAAAAGTACGCCAAATAGCTTTATTAATGACGTTTCGCTACCGTCGCCTCCCAAAAAGCTATAAATATCGGGCGTATTGAATCTCGAGCAACTGACGTTCAGTCAGAGTCAATCTCTGTACTTTAACGCCATACGTTAGTAGTTATGTCTCACGTTAGGCTGTCTGCTTTGGACTAGAAAAGGTACCAAGACGATCGAGGAACGGACCCCACGTGGTTTTGCCTTCCGGTCCTCGCGTGAAGACCCCGGCGGGGCTAAAATTGACCGGAGACCTCAGAGACGAAAATACCGGTCACCTGGAGGGAGAGGCAACGGGGAGAAGAGATATCCTGGGAACGAGATTGACTTACAGTTTAATATTCCAAGATAATAATAACCTGCGATCATTTTCTCCCTAAAAAAACGTAAAACGCATGTTCAAAAAAAAAAAAAAACGATGAAACATGAAAAACTGTATAGTTTTACACTATTTCCTTGTTTCTGTTTTCGTCTTTTGTGACTATGGTTTGTATTTTGGGATTCTGCTTCAGTTTTGCGGTTTAATTTTGTATTTCTTTGCGTGTGTTTCTTGTTGGGGATGCTTATTTCCGTATTGGAATTTGTGTTTCTGTTTTCTGGTAGTGTTTTTCTGTTTTGGGTTTGTTCTCTCCTATTTTTGTCGTTGTTGTTGTTGTCTTGTGGTTTTTCTGTTTCTATCGGCCACTCTATATATTTGACAGTCCTCTGCATTTAAATCCAACCACTGGAGAACACTTCAAAACTCCGTTGAAAATTTCTTCACAGAGATCACATCGTTCAGGTAAGAAATAATCTCTTTTAACTTAGAATTTTTCTAATCAGATATTTCTGCAAGGTTTATTTTGATTTCCTGCTGTAGTTTTTTTCCTCTCCTTTTTAAATTTACTTACTAGAAATAATTAATAATAAGTTTAGACCGGTTTGCGCCCGCGAAGCAAAGTATGTTTGTTCCATGTTAAGCAAAACGTCCTACTAGAATACTGTTTGACCGGTTTGTGTTTCTCTCCCTTCGTTGTCTCCCTTTTCCGCTACTCTCTTCCACTTCCTTTCCACCCCTCCCCCGCCTCCAAACCCCCCACCCCTACCCCTCCTCACGCAAGCAACGCCGGATATTTAGGATAATTTGTGTTAAATGTGGATCTCTCATGTTGTAGACGTCACAGGTTTATAATAAGTTTCATTTTTATTACTACCTAACGAAGAAAGAACTGCTTTGTGCACTAAATTTGTGAAACTAAGTCTTGCAGCGATTAATAAGAAATTGAGGTCACGAACTTTTTTAGTCAAGACATCTTTGCTCATACAGCTGCCTTTTAAATTTTTCAATGTTCATTGGGACTATGTGAATTGTACTGCCAGAAAGGTTTTCAGGAAAATTACTATTTATAAATTAAATCGCTTTTATTTCTGCTCTATGTAAGGCAAACAATTTAAAATTTGTTGTGGTTTGCTAGTTTGTGGTCTCTCTGAAATTTGCATGTAATGTTATTGTCGCCGGGCAGCGGACTCATTTTTTGAACTTTGACTTATTATTATAAAAACACAAAACAATAAAAAACGTAAGAAGGATCAATTAAAACACGCGACTAGTAAGCTCACAATAAAACCAGACATGAGATACCGTTTTAAAAACTTTATTGAAAACTAATGACAAAAAGAGTCAAATACACAGCGATTTAAAAGGAATGAAAAATTAATCCTCTTCTTCGTTCTCCTCTTTAGAGGGGGAATAAAAATTGGTTTCCAACGTCTTCGCTTTTTTGTGTGTACTGTAATTGCTCCACAATTGAGACACCCAAGAAAGCCCTCTTTGATGTAATTTCTCTCCTCGGGGATCTGGTGATCGCATATCTGACAAGTCTTGTAGTAATCGTGCCAAAAGCAGTTAGGACATTTCATGATCAATGTTCGTCGGTAACTCCCATAGAGCAATAGAGTACCACAATCAAGACCTCAGGATTGCCAAGGAAAATGGTGACAGGGCACGTGAAGGATGTGCCTATGGCAATCTCGGCAATGCTTATAACTCCCTCAGAGAATTCCAACAAGCAATAGAGTACGAAAATCAACACCTCAGCATTGCCAAGGAAGTTGGTAACAGGGCATGTGAAAGCAAAGCCTATCGCAAACTTGGCCATCTTTATAAGCATCTCAACGAATACCAACGAGCAATAGAGTACACCAATAAATACCTCATCATTGCCAAGGAAGTTGGTGATAGGGCAGAGCAAGGGCAAGGCTATTGCTATCTCGACTGTATTCACAAAAGTCTCGGCGAATACCAACGAGCAATAGAGTACACCAATAACTGCATCATCATTTGCAAGGAGGTTGGTGACAGGGAAAGGCAAGGGCAAGGCTATGGCAATCTCGGATATATTTATTTTCGTCTCGGCGAATACCAACGAGCAATAGAGTACACCAATAAATTCATCATCATTGCCAAGGAAGTTGGTGACAAGGCAGGGCAACGGGAAGGCTATGGCACCCTCGGCAATATTTATTTACTTCTCTGCGAATACCAACGAGCACTAGAGTACACCAATAAATGCATCATCATTGCCAAGGAAGTTGGTGACAGGGAAGGGCAAGGGGAAGCCTATGACAGTCTCCGCTGTATTTATCTCTGCCTTAAAGAATTCCAAAGAGCAATGGAGTGCCACAAGAAACAGTAGAGCATTGCCAAGGAAGTCGGTGGCAGAAAAAGAAAAGGAGATGCCTATTTAAACATCGGCGAACTTCGTTATTCTCTCGGCGACGTGCCACGAGCAATGGAGTACTACAAGCAATGCCTGAGAAATGCCGAGGAAATCGGTGACAGGGATGGACAAGGATGTGCCTATTGCCACCTCGGAAAGTGTTATATAAAGCTCCACGACTTGAAGGAAGCAATAGAGTGTTACAAGCAACACCTGAGTATTGCCGAGGAAATCGGTGACAAGATGAAAGAAGCATGTGCACATGACGGTCTGGTTCACTCTTTTTTGGAATCACATTCTTTGAATGAGGCTTTAAAACATTTTAGATGCTGTGTTAAAATCTGTGACACCATTAGAGCCAATTCTATCTCCGAAGATCAATTGAAAATAAGTTTCTGTACGAAACATCAATGTGCCTATAATCATCTGTGGCAAGTTTTAGTAATGCTTCAAAGGAATGATGAGGCTTTATACGCTGCTGAGAGGGGACGAGCACAGGCTTTGCTCGATGCCTTAAAAGTAACTTATGGCCTTACATCACTTTCGCCCAGGTCAATTGAATCTGAAGAAGTCAGAAATATTTCAAGGAAGACAACTATTTTAACAGTTTTTCTTGCCCTGCACAAGAAAACAGTCAATATGTGGGTGTTGGGAAAAGAGGACAAACCTATTTTTAGGCAAGAGAAGATAGAAATTGGACTTGAACACGAAGATTCCTTTACTCTCCTTTTAGAGAATGTTTTGAAAACATTAGGGCTGGCGTCGGTATTAGGTGCGAAAATCGGTCAATGGATAAGCTGAGTGATGACTCAACTCCCTCAAGTACTCAAGAAGACAATGAAACATCGGAGCCATCACAGGAGAGCACCGACAGGGCTGGCGTCGGTATTAGGTGCGAGAATCGGTGCGAATTACAGCCATTATATAGTGCAGTTCTTGGTCCCATTGAAGACTTGCTTGATGGTGATAAACTAATTGTAGTTCCTGATGGCGCTTTGTCTAAATTTCCTTGGGCAGCCCTGAGTGAAACTTTAAGGATCCGCACTGTTCCCTCACTGAGAAGTTTGAAAGTCATCACAGATTCTCCAATTGAATACCACAGTAAAAGTGGAGCTCTGCTAGTTGGAGAGCCATGCTTGAAGAAAATTACAGATAAACGGGGGAACCCCATTTATGATCCTCTGAAGTACGCAAGAATGGAAGTGGAGATGATTGGAGAAATTCTAAAGAGTCAAACCTTAACAGGTGAAGATGCAACCAAAGAAGCGGTACTTCAGAGAATCGCGTCAGTTGCTTTGGTTCACATCGCAGCCCACGGAAGGAAGGAAACTGGAGAAATTGGTTTGGCTCCAGACCCCCGATGGAAATCCAAGACTCCTACAGATGAGGACTATATTTTGAAAGTGTCTGATATACAAGCTGTGAAGCTGAGAGCAAGGCTAGTTGTGCTAAGTTGCTGCCATAGTGGTCAAGGACCGGTCTCCTCTGAGGGTGTGGTCGGTATGGCACGTGCTTTCTTGTTTGCTGGTGATCGTTCCCTGCTGGCATCACTCTGGGCAATTGATGACGAAGCCACCATGATATTTATGAAATCTTTCTATCAACAACTTGCAAGTGGAGAAAGTGCAAGTGTTGCTCTTCAGAGGGCCATGAAATGTCTTCGAGACTCCCAGGATTATTCTGCTCCGAAGTACTGGGCTCCTTTTGTTCTGATGGGCGATGACGTTAAGATTGTATTGGAAAACGAGTCATTGAGAAAGTCGTACGTGGAGATTTTTTTTTCTTGCTGTTCTAGTAACAAAAGGCTTAAGAAGAAAAGCTTGAACCATTCTTGTCAAATTCAGATAAAAGGAAAATGACAGACTTGATAATAAAAAAAAATAAAAATATGTACAAAGTTAGGATGGGTTGGGTGGTAAGTGTTAAATTATTATGGATTCACCTAACGGGCTACCAACACATTTAAAAAATCAACTGAACACTAGGCATTGCTTAATGTTCTCAATTGTTAAATAGTTTAGGTCAGGTGTGGATAAAAGATATACATAAGGAATAAGTTTCCTTCGTTTTCCTACAGGACTAGCACTATATGTAGAGAAATTCATAGCTTCAAAACGAACAAATATGTCTAACATGTTAAATGTTTTTCATTTTGCTATTTTTCATATCATCATCCATGGCATCCTAAAATTCAACGCGTTGACCTCTACTTTGTTTTTAAACGAAAGCGGTTAATTGATGAATCCGCAATTGTTACTTTCTTTACAGGATGCGCTGAAAGTTTGATGTCAACACAACTGCTAAAGTAGGGAGCATATATCTGGATTCCAAAGAAAACTGTGCGTTATTTAATAGAGGAATGTCCTGAAAGGGGATTTTAGTAAAAACGTGTGTTTTCATTTTAGGCATTTTTTTCTAAGAAGATATTAGAGAGATTCAGAGTCAAGCTTACGGCAAACGTCTGCAGATTCAAGTTGAGAATTGCTCAAAATAGAAAATAAGCAGGTAAAAACAGCTCAAAGTAATTCTTATGGATAAAGCTAACGTGAAACTAACCATTTTTTTGTAGATTCAATTAACAGTAAACAATAAGTAAAGGAAAAACTTGGTCACGTGGTACAAATCTACGTTTGACGTAAACGTAACTCTAAATCTCTCTTATTAAAAACATAAAAAAAAACGGGAATACAGTATACTGTGGAGCTCTATATTAGCCACGGCTACACTTATCAATTTTAACCTACAAAAAGACAATTTTCGTGTGGAAAGTACTTAATGTTGTTTACAAGTATGTACTGTAACCATTTCGTGCATTCTGAACGTGAATTTAGCGGAAGACTTAAGTAGTTTAAGATCCGGGCTAAAAGGATGTGTTTCATGTGATTTATCTCCAGTTACCCAGAAGTAGTAATTAAAAAAAGAAAAAAAAAAGGAATATGTTCATGTCTTGATGATCCTTAATGTATAAATTGGTGGACAGTACAAAATGCAGACTGCAGACCATTGTTTTCAGGGGGTTAAAAAAACAATGGGACTATTGTTCTCACGTTGTCATTTGAAAGGGAAAATGGTATTTCAGGGCCGAGTTTAACTTGCATGGATAAATTATTAGCGTTTTATACAAATAGTAAATTGTTTGCCTTCCATGTTTGGGAATGAATATGCTCGTAGTTTTTACAGTAAGTATTAGACGATACACTGAATAGCCTGTGCAGAGACAAGAGCGAGCGACTGCTGGCGAATTGCATCGTCTGAGAATCATCAGAGTAACTTTTGCCTTGTTTTAATAACCTTGTTTTGGAAATCGTTGTCAGATAGTCCCTCTCTGTATGCAAAAAGGGGAAAAAAGGTCAGAAATGTAATTTTCATCCATAAACAAGATTTATTTCCCTTCTCTTTTTTTCCACCGCCACTTCCTTGTCGAGCTGAATGTCAATCCGCCTCTGTCTCTGCATTTGTAGACTGTTTGTTCTGCTATAAACTAGGATTAAATCTTAATCTTGTTTCTAATTTAAATACTGCGAGTCAATTCAATCATATAAAACATTTTCGTGTGTACCATTGCGTAAGCGGTCCAACAGCTGTAATTGATGTCACCTTTAAGTATCCAAACGGTGAAAGAGATTAGATAAAGATTTTGGACGCTCCAATAACTTAATAATGTTTTGTTGTAATTGGGTTAGTTTGTAAAAGTTGGGATTTTTATCAAATAGATCATTTCCAGAACATGTACACAGCAACGTTCTGAGGTTTGGCGTTTGGAAATTACAGCAATCGTTCAAGCTATCATCATTCTATCGAGAATCTGACCTATTTTTACTGCCTCTAGGTTGCTTTTCCCGAGGCTATTGACTTTTAACCATCCCTCAGTTATATTATTTAAAGGAGCTGCTTTAATTGAGAGAATTCACCATTAGAAAAAAGGATAGGAGGTTGAGGGGAGGCAAACGCATTAGTAAGAAAAAAGTCTCCACACGCACCAGGGTCAAAAAAAGCTGTTCGAGGAGGAAAAATAGACTTCCACCTCAGGGGTAAAAAGAAAACTTTCATAGACCTCGCAAAAATTCAACCCAGCCCCTTTATTTTCCTAATGGTTCATCCCTTATACCGCCCCATGTAACGGAATCCGAAATCTGGGAAAAATTTACATGTGAAATCGGAAACCCTGGGCTTTGGAGTCCGGAGTACAGCTCAAAGAATCCGGAATCCCACCAGCAATTGGAATTGAGAATCCAAGTTCCACTGACAAAGACTGCAATCGAGTACCTGTAATCCGGAAAATCCGTGACGTGGAATCACGATGGTCAGAAATAGGTGTTTTTCCTCCCACATAGGCCACAGAGACGTAAAGAATTTTCCAAATGGCATGAAACTTGGCAGAATTGTTGCTTGAGAGATTCTAGACTTTTTGGTGGCAGTTTGACAGTCTTGCTGGACATTGTGACGTCACAAATAATTTCCAAATTTGGTGCCAAAATTTAGAATTAAGAAAATCGTCAGAAAACCCAAATAGAGATGTTCTGTGATCGGAGTGATGCTTTCCAGTGAAAACCCCGTTAAAATCCATTAAAACGGGACAAAGTTACAAGCTTTTTTGTGAATGACAATAAAAGAAGGAATTTAAAGAATTTAATTGTTTTATTACCTTATATGGTAAAACTTTAGGGAGGTTTACAGTTCAAGACAATAAATGGAAGTTAAAAGAAAAATAGTGGATAACACACTAGAGAAAATTTGTAGTTTTTTGAATTTGGGACTCTATAGGTATTTTCACTTGTGACGTCATCAACACGTATATATGACGTCAACATGGTTTGAAATGACGTAACATGCAACCTGACACCCCATGTCCCAAATTTAAAAAACTACAAATTTGCTTTTATGCATGGTTCGCTTAGTTCCCTTACTGTTTCGTTTAATAAGCTGGAGTTTAAATACCCCTAAAGTTTGACCATATATGGTTAATTCCATACATTTGGCGGGAAATTTGAATTTCTTTAACTAGCTCTAACTTTGCAACAATTTAACTGATTTAAGTGGGGTTTTCACCAGAAAGCTCCGTTTTTTTTATAGATTTTATTTATAAAGTTATTTAAGTCAAATAATTAATTCCAAATTTTAGCGCCATGTTTCAACGTCACTTATGACGTCACGCTGTCAATCAAAAGTATAAAACTACCATCAATACATGCGGACTTTCTTTTACTATGTTCCTGCCAAGTTTCGTCTCATTCGGAATATTTCACAATCAACTATGTGTCTCTAATGAGCCATGTGGGAGGAAAAACACCCATTTCTGACCATCGTGATCCAGAATCCCAGACTATCTTGGATTCTCTTACATGGGGTGACTTATAGGTCGGCTTGTTGAACTGCTTCTACTTGATCCCAACACGTTGCACGATACAATGTTTAGTTTCTGATGTCACCTTAAGATAAGTAATGTTGTATTAAACCTGAAGAAAACGAGGTGTTTACTGTGATTGTTGATCTCTTCGATGCCTTAAACCATTTTAAAACAACTTCTCCTTGAATTGGAATAGCCAATATTTGATTAACAAACCACTCCCACCTCAGAGGCACCAAACATTTTCGATGTTAGGACGTTTTTCACATATTTTAAGGCAAGTTTCTGATTCCGTCATCAAATTATTCCGCTAGGTAAATCGGTATTCAAGCAAGAAAACCCAGCTTTTAAGCGGAAGTTTGATGAAAACCATTTGACCTCGTTTCGCCATACACGTCATAAGAAGCATAAAGGCACCAAAAACTCATTCCATTATATTTTCAAAGAGTACCATGGTAGTGACCCACAACCGTGTCACGGGTCTCTTGGCAGCCAAATGACTCAGTAAAACAAAAACGTGTTCAAACCAATTTTCGACATCCAGGGATGTACCTTTGAAACAGCAAAGGAAACTTTTGTCCATATTTATCAAAACTAGAATTTCGTCGTTAATCCAAGCAATCTTGCCACTTTCAATTGAAGCAGCACCGATCTAGAAAGTGGATCGTCTCATATCGGATAGGTTTCTGTGCAACTCTTCGTCGCAGTGTGAACGGGTAACGGGTATTCGAACCGTGGCGTTAATAAAAGAGTAGGAGGGAGGAGTAAAACCCAGAAACACGGAAGTAAATGTTAAGCGGAAGTCAGGATTGGGAATTACTTCGCCCATCCCTCTCGACCAACTACTCCAGACTCGTACCCAGTCGCTATTTATTTATCCCCGTGCGCCTCAATCTTCTCTCCAATCTCCAATCTTTTCTCATCCCAAACACACATAAATAGTGGATGGGTGCGATTGTAGACATTTATAGATTTTCCTCTCCAGGCATGGGCAAAGTCAAGTTTAAGTACACACCTGGTCAATCGTGAAGTATGCACTACTGCAAATTTTAATCAATCATATTTCTCAACATGGTCAATAAAATGTTAACCAGTGCCTATATTAAACACCTATTGAACGGGATTGGGTGATATCTGGAATAATCAAAGGTCTAGGTGTTACCAGCCGAGCCGAACGCTGATAACACTTACCGAGACCTTGATTATTCCAGATATCACAAAAAGCTAAACTAATCACACATTGTTTTAAAGAAAATAACAACACACCGTCGCACAAAATATAGTTTGACATTGCTCTTGCAAATCATGCATTGCGCAAGCAAACTGGAGACAAGTCAGTTATCTGCTAGCAGATAATTAACTACTATGTAGGTTGCGCTGATTTTCAAATTACATTAACCGTAGGCTCTTAGCTAATGAAAAGGCATGTAGTGAGTACAATTCCACGTAATTTTATTTATATGAATATAAATTTATTTCTTACAAACGGACTTGCAAGGAAAACAAAAAAATCATCCACAGAGTTATTAGTCATTATAATAAAAAAAGAATGGTTGATAATTGTTGATAATGGTTGATATATAAGTGGGGACTGGAAAGACAAACATGAAAATTTTAGCAAAAGAATTCAAGAGGAAGAAAATATGACGTAGCTAGTCCTTGAGTAAACCCCTCACCGGTAGATGGGTGTAGGGAAGGTGCCTGGTCAAAAGGAGGGAGCCGCAAGGCAGCACGGGAGGTACCCATGACAACCCAGTTAGAGGGAACCAACACGCATCGTCACACTGATAATAGGAAGCTTGCGCAACAGGACGGAAGAGAAAAGAAGACGGCAAACTTTCTGTGACAAGCGTGACAATGTTTTTGTTGAAATTACTTGCCGCCAAACTTTACCTTTCTTTAAACAGATGTTTTTGTAAAAGACCAGAAAATATTAATGATAAGTGAAGATCACGACAAGACTGGCAAGTAATAGTCCTGTCACGTTTGTCACACACAAGAGTTTTGCCGTCCTCTTATTCCTGCCATCCTGTGCGCAAACACTAATATCATGGGTGACAGATTACTCCTTCAATTTAGTGCGAAATTTCAGCGTTAATTTAAAATTTCACTTGTGAAATTACATAATTTGCCATGGCAACGTTCCATGCGTCTCAGTGGTGCCAAGATGGCGAAGAAAATTCAAAATGTTATGAATGAAGATTCCAGGGCGAGGCATTTAAAGACGCTTTAGAAAAACCTCAACGCACGAAAGAGCACATCAAGAACTCTTCCAACAGGTATTTTGTCGTAAAACTTGTGAACTTAAGCCAAATTTTATGTTCTAAACTTTTCAGTGCGTGGTACTTGCATGAAAATTCTCCAAGTAAAGGCAAGACATTTAAGGTACACATCACTCCATGTAAGGTAATCCGAATTCCAGAATGCGGGAAATTTTGCTTGTGGAATCCAAATTCAGTCGTAGAATTTGTTCTTCTAGAATTGGAAATCCTGGACTTGGGAATCCGGAATTCAGCTCAAGAAATCCGGAATCCCGCTAACGATTAAAATCCGGAATCCAAGTTTTTCGAAGTTTCCTTTATATGGAAAACAGCTATCGCATCGGAATGTCTCTTTTTCCAAAACTAACCTCGGACAGACACTCGGACTCAGTCATCTCATTCAGGTTGAAAGTTGAATAATCTTCTTACGGAAAGCAGAGATCAGACATTACTAGAAATTCTTCATCGTCAATGAAAGTAGACGTACGGCTTATAAAATAAGACCTTGCATCGTTTTAAAAGACGCCTCTGCGAAAAAACTTTGTTGCTAACGAACATCACAGTTCTACTACTTCTACTTGTTTGTTTACATTCAGTGTCGTCCAGCAGCTGGATGGCTAGCTGACGTAGAATTCAAAGGAAAAAGGGCCCGAAACTGACGTTCTCGTTCCAGTCCTTTCCCGGTCAACAGACGTCGTCGTCGTGAACTTCGTCGTGGTTCTTAAGTTCCCTATCGACGAAACGACGATATTAGAGATTAAAGCGACGACCGTTTTCCCATTTCGATCACGTACATTTGATCTGACAGCACCGAACAGGGTGCTGCACGTTCAGAGCTGAAACGGCGGTCATTGTGGTGTACCCAACCAATCCTGTGTGGGACTTGAACCTTTTTCTTATGAAAAAACGACACGGCGTTCTATTGTTTGTGTGAAAGAAAACGCTCTCCCTATTTAGACTAAAAGGTTAGGGTGCATAACGAAATATCAAGAGGGCAGGGAGAGGTGGTGATATTACCCTGGCCGGGATAGGAGTCAACCTCGTTCCCAAGGTTCTCTCCTACAAGCAGAGAGAACCTGGGAACGAAGTTGGGTAGGAGTTTCGGCCGCTTCGTTCTAAGCGCATCCTCGGAGACCCAGGGGCAGCTACAATCCTCGTCAAAACTCTTGAAACACTTCCCCAATGTTGATTTGGGTATTACAGTGGTCTCAGTGCTTCAAAATACGCGTGGCGCAACATTGGGGAGGTAGAGGGCACATTACAGTGAGGGCAAAAGTGTGAGGAGTAAAAATCTCAAGAATTTTCCAGAAAATTCAAGAGAAACGGTGTCTGTTTCAACGATTTGTGACGAGTATTGTAGTCGGGACGATTCTATCGTCCCGACTAGCTGCCCCTGGGTCTCTGAGGATGTTCTAACCATTATGAACTTATCCCATCAACAGTTGTGATTTGTGTTGACCCTTTAGCCGCAAGAATGACCAATATTAATTTTCTCCTAACAATTTCAACACATTTTTCAGAGAAAAGGTTCAGAGAATTTATAAACCACTCCGGAGAGCGGTTTCAACTCACGAAAAAGGAAATGCTTTTATCCTTCATCATATTCTTGTCTCCAAACGGGAGTCTAAAGAACAATATGGTAATATGGTATGATAATTTTTGAAACTGCATAACTTTTTACCTGGATTCGTATAGACGGGGCCTTAAACCACTCCGGAGAGCGGTTTCAGATCACGAAAAAGGAAATGCTTTTATCCTTCACCATATTCTTGTCTCTAAACGGGAGTCTAAAGAACAATATGGTAATTATTTTTGTTGTTTTTTCCCACTTTGGTCAATTTTTCGTCGCGTTATCATTTCTAAATCTACCAATTATAATTTCATTATTAACACAACTGCTTGTAAAACTTTCTTAGCAGATATAAAAGAATGGGCGCCATGAACTTTTGAATGAGGTGGAAGAAACTGCGAGCGTGGTTTACAAGGACATTCTAGACTGGATTCAGCAAAAGGTACCTTGAACTTTTTTAGGCCACGAGCACACGAATCCAGACTAATTTTTGAAACTGCATAACTTTTTACCTGGATTCGTATAGACGGGGCCTTAAACCACTCCGGAGAGCGGTTTCAAAAAGATAGTAGGCTGATTTAGCAATAGAACGTGAACGTCAGATGACGACGACGAGCGCAAGCAAAACAACTGGCTTGATCAATGGGAGAGCAGCAAATTGAGCACCGGAAGTCGCGTTCAGTCCTTTCCGCGCGCTTTCCGAGAATTCACTGGTTTCGCGCGTGGACGGAATACCAGACGGAAGGTCGATCCATGTGAAAAGTGTATATAAATGCGGTTTCAAAAATATCCGGATTTTTGTGGACGGGGCTTTTCACGATAGTGTTAATTTACAAATATGACCAGAATCATGTCATTTTTTCATTTCTTTCATATTTAATTCGGTAAATTCAGAAGCCTTAATTTGCATGAGAAAGCCAAATTCTGATGAAGGATTCTAAAAAGGGCCGTTTGCACGATCGGCGTCATTTTACTGTTCCAGATTTCTTCAAGGTTTTGCTTTCTTGTGCAAGTTAGGGCTTTTGTTATTTAAACCTCAGTGGAATTACCAAATTTAGATATGAAAGAAAAAATGAAATGATTTTCTTTAGTAGCAAAAACAAATCATCGCGTAAATAGCCAATTAGGCCCCGTGGCCCCAGTCTATTCTGAACTGCTGCATTATTCGGGCTGGGAGGGTGACCCTTAATATGGGCCTCCCTAATATCGGGCGTATTAAATGTCGAACAACTGCATGACGTTCAGTCGGAGTCAGTCTCTGTATTTTAACGCCAGGTTTGATTTACAGTTTGATGTTCTTAGATAATAATAGCCTGCGATCATGCTCTCCCCAAAAAACGCCTGTTTTAAAAAAAGACGATGAAACATGAGAAACTATAGTTTTATGCTATTTACTTGTTTCTGTTTTCGTCCTTTGTGGCTATGGTTTATATTTTTAAATTCTGTTTCAGTTTTGCGGTTTAATTTTGTATTTTTATGTGTGTTTCCGGTTTGGGATGCATATTTCCGTTTGGGGATTTGTGTTTCTGTTTTCTGGTAGTGTTTTTCTGTTTTGGGTTTCCTATTCTGTCTTATGTGTTTCTGTTTTGGGTTTGTTCTCTCCTATTTTTGTCGTTGTTGTTGTTGTCTTGTGGCTTTTTTGTTTCTATCGGCCACCCTATATATTTGAAAGTCCTCTGCATTTAAATCGAACCACTGGAGAACACTTCAAAACTCCGTTGAAAATTTCTTCACAGAGATCAAACGTTCAGGTAAGAAATAATCTCCTTTAACTTGGAATTTTCATAAGCAGATATTTCTGCAAGGTTTGATTTCCTGCTGTAGTTTTTTTCCCTCTCTTTTTTACTTAGAAATAATTAATGATAAGTTTAGACTGGTTTGCAACCGCGAAGCAAAGTATGTTTGTTCGATGTTAAGCAAAACGTCCGACTAGAATATTGTTTTGCCCGATTTGTGTTTCTCTCCCTTCGTTGTCTCCTTTGTCCACTTCTCTCTTCCCCTTTCTTTCCCCCCCCCCCCCCTGAAAACCCGCACCACTACCCCTCCTCACACAAGCAACGCCGGATATTTAGGATAATTTGTGTTAAACGTGGATCTCTCATGTTGTAGACGTCACAGATTTATAATAATGTTCATTTATATGACGAAAACTAACGAAGAAAGACCTGCTTTGTACATGAATTTGTGAAACTAAGTCTTGCATCGATTCATAAGAAATTGAGGTCATGAACTTAGTTAGTCAAGGCATTTTTTCTCAAACTGCTGCCTTTTAAAATTTTTCAATGTGCATTGGGACTATGTAAATTGTACTATCAGAAAGGTTTTCAGGAAAATTACCGCCATCTCCTCTAAGGAAAAACATTTTTTTCTGACGGGAGGACGCCTGTACACAGGCTATTTTGACTGAATCAATTTATGTAAACTAGATGGGGAGAATGTTGTGGCTATAATAGAATCATCAAAGCACGGCTGCGGAGTGACAAAAGTCCTCTTGGTGTTTAGATAAAAAGGTCTACACTTTTTACTCATATATGTAAGAATTTTATAGTTTCAACTTAACTGGACTTAACTTTGGGCCTTTTGCAGTTTCTCTTGCCATCCGTGCACGAGCATAGAACTAAGCAAAAACCTTAGGGATAAAGCTAATTGATTTAGCTGAAAATGTTCCGATCCACTAAGTGCACCCAATTTGACCAAAAATGACCGACACCTACTTCTAATCCTACCACACTCTCTAAGGCAGAAGCTCTCAACTATATTTTCATTTAGTATCCCAGGAGTTTCAAAAATGATTAGTTTTTGCGGTTAATGTAACCTGGGAAAGTTCTATCATGTCTTATCTGTCCTGAACGGGGACATATTCTAAGACTTCAAATGTATTAATGAGAATTATTTTTGTTTTTTCTCCACCTCCACGCTCCATTAAATAAACCTTACTGCAAAGAAACAGTCCACTTTCAATACTTAAATTTCGAAATGGCAGAAAGAATACTACAAGATATAGCTGAACAAAAAAAGCGTCTGACAATGGCGCAAATCAATAAAAACACAGAAGAAAAAGCAGATGCCTACTACAATCTAGGTAAAGCTTATTACTCCCTCAGTGACTTCCATCAAGCAATAGAGTGCTTCAAGCAGAACCTGAGCATTGCTGAGGAAGCCAGTGACAGAGAAAGTGAAGCAATAGCCTATGACAATCTCAGCCGTGCTTATAAATCCCTCAGCGAATTCCAACGAGCAATAGAGTGGCACAAGAAAGGCCTGAGCATTGCCAAGGAAATCGGTGACAGAGAAGGAGAAGGATCTGCCTATGGCAAACTTGGCTGTGCATATCAATCCCTCAGCGAATTCCAACAAGGAAAAGAGTATCACAAACAACACCTCAGCATTGCCAGGGAAGTTGGTAACAAAACATGCGAAGGAAAAGCCTATGGCAATCTTGGCTGTGCTTATGATTCCCGCCGCGAATTCCAACGAGCAATAGAGTACCAAAAGAAGAGCCTAAGCATTGCCAAGGAAATTGGTCACAGGAAAGGAGAAGGATGTGCCTATGGCAATCTCGGCCATGCTTATCAATCCCTCAGCAAATTCCAACAAGCAAAAAAGTACCACAAACAACACCTCAGCAGCGCCAAGGAAGTTGGTAACAAAACATGTGATGTAAAAGCCTATGGTAATCTCGGCTGTGCTTATCACTCCCTCAGCGAATTCGAACGAGCAATAAAGTACCAGAAGAAAAGCCTGAGCATTGCCAAGGAAATCGGTCACAGGAAAGGAGAAGGATGTGCCTATGGCAATCTCGGCCATGCTTATCAATCCCTCAGCAAATTCCTACAAGCAAAAAAGTACCACAAACAACACCTCAGCATTGCCAAGGAAGTTGGTAACAAAACATGTGAAGTAAACGCCTATGCGGTCTCGGCTATGCTTACCGATCCCTCAGCGAATTCCAACGAGCAATAGAGTACCTGAAGAAAAGCCTGAGTATTGCCCAGAAAATCGGTTACAGGAAAGGAGAAGGACGTGCCTATGGTAATCTCGGCAGTACTTATAGATCCCTCAGCGAATTCCAACGAGCAATAGAGTACTACAAGAAAAGCCTGAGCATTGCCCAGGAAATCGGTGACAGGATTGGAAAGGAAACGGTCTATTGTAATCTTGGCCAAGCTTATGAATCCCTCAGCGACTTCCCACAGGCAATGGAGTACCACAAGAAACACCTGACCATTGCCAATGAAGTCGGTGACAGGGTAGGAGAAGGAATTGCCTACGCAAGTCTCGGCCAGATTTATAGTTCCCTCGGGGACCATCAACGAGCAATAGGGTGCTACAAGCAACCCCTGAGTACTGCCAAGGAATTCGGTGACAAGAAAGGAGAAGAAGTTGTTTATTGCCATCTCGGCAAGGCTTATTATCTTCTCAAAGACTTTAAAGAGGCACTAGAGTACTTTAAGCAACACCTTAGAATTGCCGCGGAAATCGGTGACAGGAAGGGAGAAGGATGCGCCAATAACCGCCTCGGTCTATCTCGTACAATTAGGTTTTGTGAATGAAGCTTTACTTCATTTTAGATGCAGTGTAGAAATCTTTGACACAATTAGAGCCAGTTTTATTTCCGAAGATGAATTGAAAATAAGTTTCCGTACGAGCCATCAATCTGCCTATACTCTTTTATGGCAGGTTTTACTAACGCTTGAAAGGAATGACGATGCTTTATACGCTGCTGAGAGGGGACGGGCACAGGCTTTGCTCGATGCCTAAAAAGTAACTTATGGCCTTACATCACTTTCCCCCAGGTCAATTGAATCTGAAGAAGAGGTCAGAAATGTTTCAAGGAAGATACCTGTTTTAACCGTTTTTCTTGCCCTGCAAGAGAAAACAGCCAATATGTGGGTGTTGGAAAAAGAGGACAACCCTATTTTTAGGCAAGCGGAGATAGAAAATGGTCTTGAACACGAAGATTCCTTTACTTTCCTTTTAGACTTTGTTTTGGAATAAATTAGGGCTGGCGTCGGTATCAGGTGCGAAAATCGGTCAATGGACAAGATGAGTGATGACCAAACTTCAACTACTCGAGACGATGATCAAACATAGGAGCCAATACAGGGGACCACCGACCTTTTACAGCCATTATATGATGTAGCTCTTGGTCCCATTGAAGACTTGCTTGATGGTGATGAACTAATTCTAGTTCCTGACGGCGCTTTGTCTAAAGCTCCCTGGGCAGCCCTGAGTGAAACTTTAAGGATACGCACTGTTCCCTCACTGAGAAGTTTGAAAGTCATCACAGATTCTCCAATTGAATACCACAGTAAAAGTGGAGCTCTGCTAGTTGGAGAGCCATGCTTGAAGAAAATTACAGATAAACGGGGGAACCCCATTTATGATCCTCTGAAGTACGCAAGAATGGAAGTGGAGATGATTGGAGAAATTCTAAAGAGTCAAACCTTAACAGGTGAAGATGCAACCAAAGAAGCGGTACTTCAGAGAATCGCGTCAGTTGCTTTGGTTCACATCGCAGCCCACGGAAGGAAGGAAACTGGAGAAATTGGTTTGGCTCCAGACCCCCGATGGGGATCCAAGACTCCTACGGAGGAGGACTATATTTTGAAAATGTCTGATATACAAGCTGTGAAGCTGAGAGCAAGGCTAGTTGTGTTAAGTTGCTGCCATAGCGGTCAAGGACCGGTCTCCTCTGAGGGTGTGGTCGGTATGGCACGTGCTTTCTTGTTTGCTGGTGATCGTTCCCTGCTGGCATCACTCTGGGCAATTGATGACGAAGCCACAATGATATTTATGAAATCTTTCTACCGACAACTTGGAAACGGAGAAAGTGCAAGTGTTACTCTTCAGAGGGCCATGAAATGTCTTCGAGACTCCCAGGATTATTCTGCTCCAAAGTACTGAGCTCCTTTTGTTCTGATGGGCGATGACGTTAAGATTGAATTGGAAAAAGGGTTATTGAGCAAGTCGTAAGTGGAGATTTTTTTTCTTGCTGTTCTAATAACCGAAGGCTTAAGAAGAAAAGCTAGAACCATTCTTGTCAAATTCAGAGAAAAGGAAAATGACAGACTTGATAATAAAATGAATAAAAATATGTACAAAGTAAGGATGGGTTGGGTGGTAAGTGTTAAATTATTACGGATTCACTCAAGTAAATGCTATTCCTAACCAGCTACCAACACATTTCAAAAATCAATTGAACACTAGGCATTCCTTAATGTTCTCCGTTGTTAAATAGTTTAGGTCAGGTGTGGATAAAAGATATACATAGGGAATAAGTTTCCTTCGTTTTTCTACAGGACTAGCACTATAGCTAGAGAAATCATAGTTTCAAAACGAACAAATATGTCTAACAAGTTAAATGTTTTTCATTTTGCTATTTTTCACATCATCATCCATGGCATCCTAAAATTTAACGCTTTGACCTTTATTTTGTTTTGAAATGAAAGATAAATTAATGTATCAATTGTTACTTTCTTTTCACGGATGCGCTGAAAGATTGATGTCAACACAATTGCTGAAGTAGAGTGTATACATCTGGCTTTCCCCAAAGAAAGAAGTGCGTTATTTAATAGCTGTCCTCAGTGGGGCGTTTGGTAACGGGTCA